TATATATATATATATATATATATATCATATCGGTCAATTTTTCAAAAGGCTATGCTACATGCAGTATTGCACCAGAATAGAATAGATTAAAAGAGTGAAGCTGTCCAGCTAAAGAACAAGAAAGGAGAAAGTTTCCTTTTTGCTTCAATGTTTTCTGGACTTTGTGAGCAGCTATCCTTATTCTTGACTCTGTGGTCACCTCAAAGCTGACTGCTGGAGACCTTCTTCATGCAGTAAGATTTTAGAAAGATATCTAAAAGCTAAGGTAAAAAAGTTTGTGTTTTAGTTGATTTGTTTGGAGTTGTAGCAAACACCCATGACTGGAATGTTTAATCTCTATTTTATCACAAGACATTGCTGTTGATTTAATTTTTAAAATTGACATGTTGTTGAAATGGGGATTAGAGAGGGAGCAGATGTTCTGTGCATTAGGAAGCCTTGACAGCTAACAAAAGTAAAACATAATGAGCCATTTGTAGACCATGAATGCACTTTGAGACCTTAACTTTAGGCAAGAAATCAGATACTCGGCTTAAATATCCCATGGTTTATCTTGTAGGAGAAACCCAAAATATAAATACAGCGCCAAATAAAAGATTGATAATAAGAAGTAGGGAGATTGATTTTTCTCCAATGGGAAGGGCTCAGTAAACAGAAGGAGGTGGGAGGGAGAGAAAGAATGGGAGTGAAAAAAATTAAGATGTTATGTAAATGTATCAAATCCCAGCAAGGAATGTAATCATTATGCAATGCAAACATTCACTAATAAAATATTTTTTAAAGTAAAAAAGAAATAGCTATAATTTTCTTGGGTATTTACGCATAATGTGTCCTTATTTATTTCGCTTGAGTGTCATCTCAATGTGCATCAATTTAGCTATAAAAAACTCTGTCATTCTTTATGGTAAAGTAGTACTCTACTGTGTGTAAATACCACATTTTCTTTATACATTCATTTGTCAAAGTCCATATAGACTATTTATTTCCAAGATTTTTCTATTATGAATTGTTCTGCTATAAACATGAGTATGTATTATCGTTGTAATGTGGTATTTCTAACTCTTTAGGAAAGGTCCTTGAAGAGAAGAGCTGGGTCACATGGAATTTCTAGTTCAATTTTTGAGGAATCTCCACAGTGATTTCCATTGTTATTGTAGTAATTTGCATTTCCACCAAGAGTGTAAAAGTGCTCCTTTTTCCTTGTGGCCTCTCCAGCATTTGTTATTATTTGATTTCTTGATGATAACCATTCATTCTGGAGTAAGATGGAATCTCAAGTGTTGTTTAAATTTGCATTTCTCTAAGGGCCAGCAATGTTGAACGTTGTTTTATGTATTTATTGGCCCTTTGTAATTCTTCTGAGAAATGTCTATTCATTTTAGTTGCCGAATTTTTATTGGGCCTTTTATTTTTGGGAGGAATCTGATTTTTTTGAGAGCTTGCTTGAAGTTTCTAGCAAGAGAGCATAGCTACTCATACAGTATGCTCTAGGCGGAGGGAACAGTCCTCCCTTTGGGGGAAGGTTCTCTTCGGCCAAGCACACAGCTGTGAGAGGGGTGCATATGGAATGGTGAGGGAGGACTGCACCACGCATAGAGCCAGCCAGATCAGCTCAGTCAAACCTGGCATGGCAGTCAGTGGAGTGACAGATGTCACAGGCAGATCACATTCACAGTCTTCTTTTTTCTATTTTAAAAGCAAACATTTTTTATGCTTAGCATATCACTGTTAGGATAATTGTGCTTTGTTCTCTGTGAGAAGGTATGAATTTACTATAGTCTTCAACTTCTAGGAGTGTGATTTAAAATATAAAGAATTTGTATAAAATGTTGAATGCAAATATCATGTCAATGAACTACTTCAGTGAAATAATTTTCAGTGGCTTTTTAAATATTAGAAACACAAAACAAAAACACATTTCTCTCGGCTCCTTACATAGCATCTGACTTCATTCTCTACAGTGCACTCCCGTCACGCTCAGCTCAAACATATTCTCTCTCTCTCTCCTCCCCTCTTCCCTCCCTCCCCTGTCTCTCTTCTTTGTTTAACTTCCTTCTTCTTGGAATTCTTTTGCCTTCCCTCACATTCATACAAACACATACCAGATTAATTCCTATCCATCTTTCAGATTTTAACTGAAGTGTCTCTTCTTTTCGAACTTGTTTTAACATTCTAAACCAACACATTCCTCTTGTAAATATGTTCTATGGCTGTATTACTCCTTCTAATTTTGAAGTATTTATGTAATTATTTTCTGGACTTCTGTCTTCTCTATAGCCTGTATGCTTATTTATGAGATTAGGGATTATTTTGGTTGTTCATTGTCCTCCCAACATCTGGACCAGCTCATGATACATGGAAAATGTTGGGTCTCTTTGTGTTTGATGGGTTTATGAATGAGTGAACATGTTCCTTTATGCTGCCCACCAGAGATTTCTTGTTAACAGAGCAGTCCATCCAGGTTTGGTACTTCCTTCACTTGAACTTGCTCTGTGGCTTTGTACAACCTATATAACTTTTTTTCATGATACTTAACTAATTTTATCACCCTTCCATGAAGCAGAAGTCCTGTTAGACTTCCAGTTCATCCTACTCACCATTTTACTCCTCTCCATTTCTGTCTCGCCTTAAGGGCAAAGGAAGAGGACATCTTCTCCTATATTATTTTTGTTAAACTGGACCTTAAGTTTCTATTCTTATGCCTTACGAATCCTCCCTATTCACTGGGGTATTCTTTTGTTCCTTCTGAAATTATCAAAACTCAATTTTTTTTTCATGTGTGTTTGTCACAGCCCTGATTCAGGCATTACGATCCTTGTCAATGTTCTCCTCTTCATGGAAAGTTTCTTGACTGCCTCCTTTCATTTCTCATTAGAATGTATTACCACTTACAGTTGTTCTAAAAAAAGTTTGCTCTTCTTTTGGGGGACCTATTTATATCAAATTTTAAACTAGTTTGTTGTTCTCTAAGGCTCTCATTCTACTTTATGCAGTGAATAGGCTTGTTTATTTATAGACTGCCTAGTGTTCGCCGTCAGGGATGAGTCCCCATAATTATAAGAACTAGTCCTGGTCTCTTCATATCACACACATGGGGTATTAATACAGATGAAGTCTTCTAAAGAATTGTTAGCATGTTCTATAAGGTTATAATTAGTATAATGGGGGTAGTTAGTATAAGCTACACTTTTAAAAAGTGAATTTTCACTGGCTTATTTTACAGTCTTTAAAATGGGACTCTGAAAGGTCCTACTACTCCATTCATGGATTTATACTTGAACTTTAAAATTTTATTTCCTGTAAATATATAGTTTAGATACTATTTTCCTTTTTTCCCTAAATTCACTAGGATCTAATGTTCTCTGTTTTTGTTTTTTTTTCTCATTGAGTTTATTGGTACATTTTAGGTATAGTTACATTACATTCATCATTGGGTAATGGTCTCTCTCTCTCTCTCTCTCTTTTTGGTGTTGGGAATTGAACTCAGGCCCTTGCACTTGAGAGGCAGGCAATGGAACCACTGAGCCAAATCCCCAGCCCCTGTTCTCTTAATTTTAGATGGCTCTGAGTTACAAATGAGTATGTGAATGTGTATGTAAGATGCCATGTAAACTCACTGTAGGCATTTGAAACACTCAGTAGAGGATTAGTATCCTTAGTATCCTTTATCCAAGGTGTTGGGATCAGGAATGTTTTAGATTCTGGAGTTTTTCAGATTTGGACATATGTGCAAATGCCCTGAGGAGTGAGCATCCTTAAACTGAAAACGTGAAATTCAAAATGCCCCCAAATCCAAAACACTTTGAAAGGCAAGATAACACTCAAAAAGCTCTGATTACAGATTATTGATTTTTATGTTTGTGATGCTCAACCTGCCCATCAGAAAAAAAAGAGGTAAAGAAAGAAAGGAAACTCTCATCACCTGTGACAGGCATTACCCTAGTGCTTTGTAGGTATTATCATATGTAATCTTCCTGTCTACCTCATTTTGTAAATCAGGAAATGTAGGTTTGTACTGATACAGGTATTAGCACAGTAAGATTTATTTACAATGAATACATTTTAAAACAGAGATTCAAATCTAGGTTTATCTGATACAGAAAGTGAAAAGGTTTCCACCTGACTTCTTACTAGATCGTTATTACTTTTCAAAAATAAGTACCTAATTCCTGGCTTAAGTTCACTAGCCTAATGAGGCCCCTATTTATACCATAGAAGCATAGAGGAAAGATTCATCTTAAAAACCATAGTGCCAGGATGACATAATATCGAAAACTGGTATAACTATGACAGACTCCAAAAGTGGGTTTGGGGTTTAGTTGAACTTAAATTCTTCTAAAACACATTTAGATCCTCAATTTAATTTTTTGAAAGAAATACCTGTTATCTGTGCCCCAAATGAATGCAAATAGTTTTATCTGGCTCTCCTAATCATTTAACAAAAAGGCAGTCCTCATTGAATGTGCTCAAATGACTCCAAACCACAAGAGTTATTACCACGGTAGCATCTGGGATTAATGTGGCAGACACTGCAATGAGTCTCTCCTCAGAGTTCTGACAACACATCAGCCACAACTGTAGATCTATGTAAAAATGGCCTCCCTGAGTAAACCATTTAATGTCACCCACAAATCTATCCAAGCAATTATGTATGATTAAGTCAGACCTAATGGCATTTTCCCAAACATCAAACGTAAAGAAAAAAAAATAAAATCTGTCTATTTGCACTCTTTTTTCCTAAAGCTGTATCTATAGTTTCATCTGCCAGCAGAATCAGACCTGCAGAGTGCTGCTTGAGGCTTAAGATTTCTTATACAGGTCTTAAAAACATGAAGTAGATGTAAGATTCATCTTTGTGAGCTCGAGAATTTGTGACATATCATAGTAGTGCTATGCAATCCATTATAAGCATGTAACACATTCCATAATATGACAACAAGGACTTGATTATTAAATACATTTAAGTAAAATAAGACAAGATCTCTAAGCTTCTCATAAAATACACAGATCTATGCTTTTTGTGATCACTTTCTCACACCAGATTTTGGCGTATATGACTGATACAAGTATTCATTGAAATTCTACATACACCAACAAATGAATAAACAATATGAAAATTTTTATAGCTTAATAACAGACATAGATTTTATAAATGTGCAGCACAACAAATATCCTGACACTCACAGAGTTATTATTCTTATTTTACACTATTTCTAGCCTAACTCAGCCTCTGTTTTATTTTTATTGATTTTACATAAACTACACCTTATACTTTTAACCCAATTGAAAAGTCTAGAAAATAGCAGATGGTCAGCAGCAATATATAAAATTTAGTGGTGGTTAGCCAGGGAATTTTTATGAAAGGATTTTCTGTATACCACTATCTACCTGACTTCTGATAGATATGTACAGTTAAATATTCACATAGTTTTCTAATCCATGCAGTTAGCAAACATTAACATTCCCTCTACTATTTATCTCTACTTTTTCTGCAAGAAGTCATGATGTGAGCCTCCCGGTCTGTGCATCTAATTATCAGATGTTTCTTCCAAAGTGGCATCTTTCTGTCTTCTAAAATCCTCAGTTCCCACACTGTTGCTTTTGAATTGATTTGTGGAATAATAGATAAAGTATAGGTGAGGTGATTGGGTTTTTATTCAAGAGAAAATTATGATGAGCTTGAAAACAGAGAAATAAGAATTGACTCCTCTTTCATGTAACCCAACAATATGTGCCTGAAAGCTAAATTTTTTCCATGTATGTCAAACTGGAGATAAGACTTTCCGGCTACAAGAAATCATTATTCCTCTGTATTTATTCATTTATGAATTTACCAAGTATTTGCAGAGCACTAGAAATCAATCATGTTAGGTATACTACATCGTATACTTATTTTTAAAACAATGAAACTGATTGTATCAAAAATACAATTTAAGGTAATTCATAATTCTGCTGCCAAAATATATCAAATATTTTAACATTTTAAATGTAAGTCTATTATTTCATCATACAGATGCATAAATTCTATAGTTCACAGTTTACAAATTGTGAAATTCAGAATTTAAAATAATTTTAGTTTGACTCAAAGAAAATTTTTTGCTTTGAAGAATTTTTTGACTAATCACAATTTCAGATTTGTGGATAAAGTTTTAGGTTAGTTTTCATTTGAAAGCATACAAAGATGCATAAAAATAAAAATAGAAAATCTGTGCATAGATATTATGTACTCTTTATATGGCTCTTTGAGAGTTAAGAGATAGGTAGAATGAATATTGTGATAAGGTCTCTCTGAATATGATCAACAAAGAAATGGAATATAGTGCTTCTTTCAAATTACCTAGTGAATTTAAAAAGAGATATCTTTTGTGCTATAAAAATAAGTCATTTTAAGAATATTTAAAGGTCATTTAGAGATAAATATGACTATTCCAAGTTGTAAACATTATTTCCATTAATATTCAATGTCTTTTATGATGTTTGAACAGTTTTCCCAAGAAGAGATTTGGATTGAAAAAAAAAAGGTCCTACATATCCATTGAAAAATCAGGTTCAAAATACCTTCTAAAGAGATACAAACATTCTTATTAAAGTCGACTAAATTTTCAGTTAAAACATTAGGCATGGAAAATTTAAATTCAGGACTCAAGTGTCTTTCTTCCTTGTGATTAAACACACTTTTCCAAATTTTATCATAAAATTTTTGACAACATGGAAAATGAAGCTCATCATTTCATTTACCACAGGATTTGGGAAACATTTTTTTTTGTTTTTTGTCACTGTTTTCCAAAATGTTCACAAATATTTCTTGGTATTTCTTAATCCTAAAAATTACAATTGTAGATGTTTTACAACTCAGTCTTCTCAGTTCTTTAAGGAAAGTAAATATTTCAAAGATTTTAGTTGTACTTTGTCAGGGAATGTGGGGGGAATATGTCATAATGAAACGCCTTCTAATAGAAACAAGTCAAACATACAGCGGCCGTGGAGGGAGCCAGCACCAGCTTCCTGAAGGAGCTGGTGAGCAGATGGCTGCACCTGCACTTCAGGGATGAGGACATCAGAGTCAGTGGGCATGCCCGGCTGCTGCTGAAGATCTCTGTTGTGGAAGTGGCTGTCCATGGGATGCAGCAGGCCCAGGGAGAAGACGCAGCTCTGTTGGGTGTGGACCAGGTAGCTGGAGAATGTGCTTCCTCAGTTGCTCCTGGACTTTTAGGAGTATCCAACCCTCCCAAGCCACCCCCAGGAAGCCAGTGTTCTCCTGCAAGCCGCTGTACCTCGTTCAGCCCAAAGGGTCTGGGCTAGATCCATACCAGGGTTGACATCTGGTCCAAGTATTGTCCTCTAGCTTCTTAAGGATGACAGGAAACTGGAAGGTTCTGCCCTTCTTAGTATCCTGTCTGCGGCTCACAAGCCCCTGGGGTCAGTCTCTTTGGGTCCTAGGGAGGCAGATGTGGGGGCAGGGGGACTGGTCTGCCTCCTGGCCACAGCCATCCTGCATAGCCCACGTGTTTTACAAACTAACCAGCTGCATTGCCACCCCGGAATCAAAGCTGGTGTGTAGCCAACTGATACTTCCCTGAGCTTCAATTTTGTTCTTATAAAACACCTATAAATTAACACCTGTCTCCTAAAAAAATTATAATAAATATGCTTAAAGCATGCATGGACATGTAGAAAGTAAAAATGAAAGCTGTGTAGATTCAATGTGATTTAGAGAGATAGAAGATAATAACTACCAATTCTGTACCGATTTCTGTAAGGACTGCACCACAGTACTTCTAAAACTTTCTGGTCCTCATCAGGAAGTGTTTGAGAAAAACTAATACCTGATGACCTGTTTCAAAAACTGCAGTGTATTTACAGCTAGAAATGTATGAAGCATTGTACTTGGAAGACCTAGGAAGAAAATATATTAAAACATTTTTTAAAAGGTGAAAATCATTTAAGGAGAAATAGCTAGAGTTATTAAGAGGTTGGAGAGAATTATATGGAAGGAGATAAGTATGTATTTTTTTAACATAGTCCATTGTAATGAACTGGGGGTTATATTTGTCAACAAACTCCCAATACTTCACCCTTTTGACAGCCTCATGGATTTCTTTTGGAGCCAACATAAATCTAAGTATTTATCACCCTTCAATAGGCAATGCAATTTTGAAATTTATTCAGAATGACCTAGCGTATTAATAGATTCAAAAATAATTTAAATATATTTAATATGAAGGATAAATAATTAAAAATTAACATCACCTAGGAAAACTTGACATTAAGCACTTGGACTAGTATATCTTCTTTGCATATGCTTTTGCTGAGATAGATGACATTTAAATTCAGGTCAGTTGTAGATTAGTAAGCCCATTCCATATTTGGGGATTTAAATTAGCATTATCTTAATCTGTGTGCTCTGTCCTATTAGTACTTGCTATATAGTTACCCCTCGCTTCAGACTTAATTTAGCAAAGCATTCTGCTAGAAATAGTCAAAAAGAATAAAATGTAAAGAACGGTGACAACTCTGGGTATAGGCTGGTTATGCTGGTTTCTATGCTTTTTTAAGTTGCTATTCATATATTCTCTCATATTCTCACTCTCATATCCTCTCAGTGTCTCTCTCTGTCCCCCTCCCTCTCTCTCTCATAAATGAACCCACACATTACTGATGGTGATTCATCACTGGTGGTCTGATGGTCACACCAGTATTTTCCCTCCCTCCATTTAGGTGCTTAAGTTTCATTTTGTGAAAGTTATGTTTCACTGGCACATTCTGTAATAGAGGCTCAATGTACTTAGATCCTCAAATTAGTATTTAGAAATTATTTTATAAAGACTTTGGGCCTGGTGGTGTATGTCTGTAATCCCCACACGCTGTGAGGTTGAGACAGGAGGACTGCAAGTTTGTGCCCAGCCTGGGTAGTTTAGCCAGATACTATCTCAAAATAAAAAATAAAAAGGGGTGAGGAGTGTGGCTTATTGGGTGGGCCTTGGGTTCAATTCTAATACCACAAAACAAAACAAATAACAACAAAAAAGAGAAAAAAATAGAGAGATAGAAAGACGGGGAGGATTATGTTATACAGAAGCACGTTTTTGGTTTTTCTCATGAGAAACAAGGAAACAAAGTTACTAAAGTCTTTTTAAACTGTATTCTTATGTTTTCTATGCTAGAGTGATCAATTCAGAATGTATTCTTTGTATTAAGGCTTCATTTTTTTCTGCATAAAATAGTTCAGGAAGGTTTACACAATCTTAAAATTTCTCTTTTGTGAATATAGAACCTTTTTATTTTCCAGACAACTTAGTAGTAGTATTTTTGTTTTGTTTTTTAGATGATGAACTTTATCTCTTTAAAATTATAATTAGATCACAGTGTTTTTTGAAGTACACTATTTTCTATGTTCTGTGAGTCTAAAAATGGGTACATATTTCCTTGCTTTCTCACTCTGAAGAACTGAAAAATTAAATTTTTTCATTTTGTTCAATCAGAAATATTTTATATTAAGAGCTATCCTGCATAATATGATATCCTAAAGATATTTTTATTAAAATTACATATGCTAATAAAAGCTTAGACAAAATAAGAATGTAAAGAAATAGTAGATTGAGGAATTTTACCCTATCATATATACTTGCTTAAACTTGTAATTATTAGTGAATTTTTAAAGATTCCTGCTTTCTAAGATTTAGGAAAAGTACCAATATGTTTTTGCAAAGACTTACTGTGTTACTGAAGCCACTCATTAGTTGACTTTAGAAAAACTCATTTTTTTAATTTATAAAGTATAAATTATATGTGCTTTATAGAGTTATTGTTAGAATTTAATTAAATGAAATATTATGTAACATATGAATACAGTGCCCAGCATACACAAATTTACAGGTGTTATTTCTTGAAATCTAATATATGAATCTAGTTTATGATCTGTTCGTTTGAGTACAAAATACTTTGGGCAATACCTGGTCAAGGGGTCTTTTAGCCAGTTATTTTCAACATGGTATTTGAAACCTACACACTACTCAGGGCTTGACACAGGGCCAAAGTGCAAGGATGAACAAAAGTAGAACCATATAAGGAAGTTCTTAAAATTATTTTTGAACATATGTTTGAAAATAATATAGTAACAGTGATGGGATAAATGTTTTCAAGGTTAGAGAGAATATTTTGAGGGGAGATACAACTTTTACTGTAGTATTTTTAAAACACAATTTAAATATTCACCTTATCTTTTGATCATCTTACAGAAAAAAGCTCTTTCATTCCTAATATAAATATGTCCAACACTAGGAGTATACTGCGCAAATTTAATTTAATAGCAAGTTTGAGGAAAAATTATAATTTAAGTCAGTGTACAGATATAAAATTGTAATCCTTACTATTTGTTTTAGAGTTTTATAGATAAGCTTTTCACTCATTTTCCTTCCCCTCCTATATACATTTTAAATTTCCCTTAAATATTTTTTTCATATTTTTTAAAGATTTTTAGAAACAACTGGCAGAACTAACTTAGCAACACTTTTATATAATTTTTCAAGAGCTCAAAAAACACTTAGAGCTGCATATGTTATGTAACTCGTCATGAGAACTGTATGTGGCATTTAATTTTGAGGATCCAGTCAAGCTGCAATAAACTTTTGAGTCACAATAAACAGTCAAAGTTAGAGAAATGTAAGGATCAATTCAAATACATAAACGAGAGCCAAGAAATGTGCCCCACAATGGGACAGACTGAAATAGCCTTTGCTAGAGATCATCAGGCAGACACTCTGCTTAGAGGAACAGCTGGTGTCTCCTACAGACCCGAAAGAAAAGGAGCAGCATTTGTGTGGACTCACTGTCTGTATCGCCACACTGCAGTTACACTCTTACTCCTCTGCCCTTATAGCAAGGATCAAGTCCTCTCCCAAAAGTGCTCCACAGTGCCTAATTTTCCCTGCAGGTGAACTCATACTAGAACTATTCTTTGAAGTTCATCTCAGATAAAAATTATGTGTATGAAAATAGAACGTGTAACTCTTTAAACAGTGAAATCTGTCTTATAGTTCTCTTAGCCTCTTTATCTGACAAATGTTCTGTCATCACTGATGGGTAATCATGAAAATACTGTAGACATGCTCTAAAAAAGATAGGCAACATGGACTGTTTTAATCGTAACATGATCACCATTGATCATTTTCCTTTCTTATATGTTCCTCCCAGCTGGCAGAGTGCCAGAATGACTTGCAGTGCTCTAGAAATTAATTCGTATTAGTATTTAATTTTGCACGAAGTTCAGAAACGTGGATTGTCTCCTGCTTCCTACTTGTGCTCCTGTGTATGCATGCTTGAACTAGTGATTGAGGGGAAAATAGTTTTAATAGGAATTGGCAGTTAGCCCAGAATTCCTACTCTATGTTTTATACAGCGTAAAAATGTGGAATCCTCTACATTTGTGGAGGCTACTAAAACTTGACATTAGGACTTACTTTTCATGAATAAATGCAGTAGTCCTTGTTTTCTTTTAAACAAATAAAGGTATCAGTTTGCTCAATTGTTGTGCCAAATTTCGGTTTTTGCTCAATGGTAATTTGAAAATTTTCTCATGTATCTTATTTCTCCTAGATTGAAATTAAAACTGTATGTTACATGTTTTGGAAAATATGACAGTGAGAAAAACATGTCTTGATCATGATAAAATAGAAGAATACACTTCTCCGTGGTATGTCTGTCTCTTTCCCACTCATTCGCACCTTTTGGGAAAAAAATTTTTGTTTTGTCTTTTGTTCTCTGTTACACCCATTATTATCTTCTTATTTGGAATGAGCACATGGAATGAGCACATGTCACAGAAATGTTCTGTTCTTTGTTTGCACTGCAGGAGCACACATGATTAATTTAGAACATAAATTTAAAGATCAATTTATGAAAGAAGTTGACAGCAAAGGAAAACAAACCAGAGTTATTTGATTATTGCTTAATTCGATGACAGATGAACCATTGAAGACATGGTTTCAGTGTTACTCCTCAACGATAATATTTGTAAAGTTTATGATGGAAGAATATGCTAAATTCTAGATTAAAATTTCCTGTCAAAAACTTTTCTCCTATCTCTTTCTCCCAGTTCATGATTTTGAAAAATGTGTTTTATTTTAGTGTTTATCAGATAGGCTGCTGAGATCACAGAGTTCTTCAGGATATAAGCTGGGTTTCATGAAAATAGATATTATGTCTCCTTCCCCA